TTAACATAATCTTAAAAGATCCTACTATTAGATATATTTTTCAAACAGGAGAGCTAAATTATTCGGTTATGATTGCATTACGAAAGCATCATGAAGCATACAATTCAAGACCAATTGAAAGACAAAATCGTGCACATATAATTGGTTATGAAAAAGAAAATACTATTAATCCAAATAAGGCTAGTCATATAATTTCACATCTTACAAACAACGATGATCCTGAAATACGATTTGTAAAACAACGTGAAAAGCGATGGAAAGAAAATTGGAAAACAATGACAGCTAATCTTGCAAATTTACAACAATTTGAATTATCAAGACAAAAACAAATTGATAGAATTACAAACAAAAGTAAATATAATATCAAATATATAATTTATTTACATAATTTTAATATTAATAATTTGCTATTTATTTAGTCATTTATCTTGAATCAGCAAATATTACTCAAGATTTTCCATTACAGCAAGGTGACTATGTAATTGTACTATATGGGATGAAAATTTGTATTGCTAAAGTAATAGCAATGTATTATGAAGGTTATGGTAACCATTGTTATAGTCAAAATGCGGTAACTCAGATTGAAGATTTATCATATATTTCGTTACAAGTATATTTACCTATTCATCTCAATATTTTTGCAAGCCAAACTGTGGAAGGTTATACGTTATTTACTCATCATTGTCCTCAAAATATTATATATCATATTAAATCAAATGGTGTAATAATTGGTGATAGTTCATTAACTTTAACAGGAGTAGCACGTGATACTTTTAATTATTTTAACCGTAATACTATTAAAAATAGTATTATTAATATGATGTAATAATATCAATTTAGTTAATAAAGTAATCAATAAATAAAAGATAAAATTTTATAAAGTCACAAAATAAATTGCTTAGTAGTATAAAAAATCTTAATGTTATAATAAGAGTTTGCTTAGCAGGATTGAAAATAGTTTGCTTATTGATCTTAATAAATTTTGAAATTTTTATCTGACCTATATATATATTGTTCGGGTTCTGTTTCACCTTTCTCCAAAGTTTTGCCAGTTTTTTAATATAACTTTAATATAGTTTTGGCAGAATTTCACTTTTCGGTGAAATGCCATCTTGCCTAAACCTTTAGGTTTCGGTAAGCAACCTTAGTAGGACTCTCAAGACGCTTCAGAACTGACAAAATGTCTCAGAAGGTAAATAAAGAGAGGAGTGGAAATTTTTTTAAATTAAAAACATTAGTGAATTTTACTAATATTCCATTTTCTTTTTTTTTATTGTAGAACCCTCAAGACGCTTCAGAACTGACAAAATGTCTCAGAAGGTAAATAAAGAGAGGAGGGGGGAATTTTTTTAAATTAGGAATATTAGTGAACTTTACTAATATTCCATTTTCTTTTTTTTTATTGTAAGACCTTCAAGATGCTTTAGAACTGACGAAATGTCTCAGAAGATAAATAAAGAAAGGAAGGGGGATTTTTAAATTATGGACGTTAGTGTCATTTACTAACATTTCATTTTCTTTTTTTTTATTGTAAGACTCTTAAGACGCTTTAGAACTGACGAAACATCTCAGAAGGTAAATAAAGTGGGGAGGTGAAAATTTTTTTAAATTAGGAACATTAGGCGACACAAAGTGGTAAAAATGGTTTTCATAGTCTGGCCAGGTCAGTTTTGTTAAGTCTCAAAAAAAAATTTTTTATATTATTACTATGCCGGGTGAGAATTTTTTAAAAATTGAAAAAAAATTTCGCATATAAAATTTTTGAAAAAAAAAATTAAAAGCCGGATTGCCGGGTTATTGATGAAATTTTTATATTATGAAAACCATAAAATCAAGTTTGTATGGCCTTAGTGAACTTTACTAATGTTTCATTTTCAAATTTTTTTTAGGAACGATCCTAGACTTCGATATGAGATCGGTAAGTTTCAAAAATTTAGCTTAGCTTTCGAAATTTTTAATATTTTTTTTGAAAAAAAATATTGTATTTAATTTTATTTCCTTTGTTTTTAGGTCTATCGGCTGGACTTAGATTTGGATCAATAATGGTAAGTTTTGAAAACTTTTATTTTGAACCTTTTCTTACTTTTATTTAATATTTAAAAAATTATTTAAATTTTTTTTCTTTGTTTTGTAGGAATTATTAACACCAATCCTGGACTTAGATTTGGATTTTTTGATCAGTAAGTTTCAAAATGAAATGTTTCATTTTGAAACTTTTTTTTAAAAATATTTTTTAAAAAAAATATATTTAATAGTTTTCTTTACTTTGTAGGTACAATACCGATCTTTGACTTGGATTTGAATCAATAACAGTAAGTTTCAAAAACTTTCGTTTCAAACCTTTTTTAATTATTTTTTAAGTTACCATCAGCTTTGATCTGATTTTGGACTTGAATTTAAATCGGTAATAGTAAGTTTCGAAAAGTTTCATTTTGAAACACTTTAATATTTAAAAAATATTTAATTTTTTTCTTCATTTTGTAGATCTATCAGTTCTGATCCTGACTTGAATTTGAATTGGTAAAGTTTTGAAAGTATAAGAATTCAATGATAATATTAGTAAATATATATGAAATTATTAAATAATTTAAATAATTTAGTAATTAGTATTTCTGGTTTTTGTAATTTTAATGTAAATTTCAAATAATTTTAAATAAAAATGCGTTGTTATAAATTAATTGAAAAGTAATCAATCAATACATTGACATTTAATCAAAAAGTTATCAATCAGTATACTGATATGTCAAATATTAAATATCCAGTAAATATCCTAATAGTAACTATTAATACCCAATTGTACTCTATTAAATATCCCGATTAGTACTTGAGTATCCTCCTTTTGCACCATCTTTTGGCAGCAATCAGATTTACTGATTAATGAAAATTTTAAAAAAAATAGGGACCAATCGGGTGGAATTTAGTCACCTGATTAGTTCCCGATTTGACATCGTTTGACTAATGTTTTAAACTCCTCTATCGTCTTTCTTCCCATTATTTGACAGATCATCAAACGTATTCATTACTACTTACTGGTTCTGATTGTACTTATTTCCATGATAATGATTCCTTTTGACTTGATTAGTACATTTGAACCTCACCTGGATTTTCCGCTCCTAGACTTTTCTCCCAAGTTGTCTCTTATTCTGATTTGAATGATCATCCTTTCACTGATCATAAAGTCCTCATCACAGCTTTCAACTTTAGTACCTGTATGGCTATTCTTGTGAAGTTTTGTCTTAAGCAAAAAAATGAAACATGAACTATCTTTACCTACAACTCAACTTCTGATTTACAATGGATTAATTTTTTGTTAGAAGTTAATACCCATCTTCAAAATTACTTTTTTACCAATTGCCCATATATCGGTGATTTTTCTCTTATATCTTTAAATAGTCTTTGACATGCACTTAAAAGAATAATTATTGGTACTGCCATTGAAACTTTACTCATCCAACATGTTTCAAATGTTCACCATCACTTCTATCCTCCTAATTAAGTTGACTAAATTAATCACCATTAATAAATTTTTGGATCGATTTTTGTTTACTAAATTAACAACTATATAGCCTAGTCATCGGTCATCCCACCCAAATCTTTCAAATAATTATTATCTTACCTAAGTAATTTCAAGATCTTATATTCCTACTTCCTGATTATTCAGTTCTTACATATAGTGTAATCCTGCTTTTTTCTCTCAAATCTTTCTTGTGTTTTTAGAAAAATTTAGTGTCTGCTTACCCTTTAACCAAATTTGCTTAATATTTTTCGAATTCAATAAAATATTATACCACTTATAAGATGACCATTTTTCATCTTCTCTTGGCAATTTCATCTTCTCCATCCTCTCAGTTAAATGGCATTCTATTGTACTTAATTATATATATATTAGTCATTTTAGACTCAAAACTTATTCTTTTACAGACCCTACAAATATTAAGCAAGCTGCTATTACTCATTTTCAATTAATTGTCTCCCCTCCATTAGTTCGATATACTTCTACATCTTCTTTTTCCTTTAGATGACAAAAAGTGTATACTCCTCTTTTTATCATATCAGCATCCTTCTATTTCTTTTATACTTAATAACAAAGTGTCTGGTCCTTCAAAAATTTTGTATAAAATATTAAAACATTTGCTGAATAATGCTTTGGAATTTTCTCTTTTACTTGCTAAATACTGTCTTTCTCATAGTGATATTTCTGCTAATTGGTAAGAAACTGTGATTTACTTTATTCAAGACTCTGCTTACTATTAAGATATGTTACCAGTAGAAATTTCACTTTCATATGAAATCTTACCTTAGGATTTGCTTAAATTCTATTGGTTAATTAACTAAAAAGAAAAAAATCATAACAATGTAACATAAAATTTCCTTTTATAGTAGGATCTTCAAAGAGTTTTATATATAAACCTTATCTTAGGCCACAGGGTGACCTATCTTAATAATAGACGGGATCCTAAAAAATCAATGGAAAAAAAACAGAAAAAATATGCCTTCTGATTTTGGTTATCCATCTATTAATATTCAGCAACATTCAGCTGCATTTAAGGCAAAAAAGTGAATGAATTGGGTGGTATTATACTCACTTCCACTTTTATAGGGCTGTCTTCCAGAAAGGTAATAACATAATTTGTAGACCACAAATGCATATTATTTTTTGTTGCTATTAATAAGTATTAATTAATATATTCAGGCATTTAAATGGATGGGCAAAATTTGTGCATGCAACAAAGCTTTGTCTCAAACATATCATCAGTATGAAAGAATTAACAGAAATTAGAAGGCTATTTTGTGAATTTATCACATATTATGAAAAGTATTGTATACTTTATTTTATTTCTATCTACCTTATTTATAATGTAATTTTAGTATTATTAAGATATATAATTAATATTTAATAGAGAATATATCCAGAATAATTCTACACGACTCCCAGCTGCACTCATTTCTTATTATTATCTGTTACATATTGCTGATTCAATTTATAATACTGGATCTGGATGGGCGACCTGGCAATATCCAATCGAAAGATTATGTGGAATGCTATTACCTCTGGTGTGCTCTATGCAACATCCTTATACAATTCTTCAAAATCAGATTACTATGTGGACTCAGTTTTACACCTTCAATATAAACCTGATATACATCAAAAGCTTATTGGTACAAATTCAAAAAAATCATCAGAAAGCCATGTTTTTACTACTAATAGTGCTGAAGAAGTTCTATATTCACTATCACACAAATATTGCATGAATAGAACTGAGATACAGCGCTTAAGAGCTTATTATGTGACAGCATTAAATAGGAATGCAAACCAACTTTCAGTAAGCATCTTTTGATATTATTTAAATTTTTATCTTAAAAGAATCTTAAAGTCTTCTAATATATTTCATTTAAGTTAATTACAAATTCCATTCAGAAATATGGTAAACTTCAAACCAAAAATGAATTAATAATTAATTCAAAATTGTCAAGTCGCAAGGGTGATGTGACACGCACAAATTACTGTATTTCTGTATGTATATCATCAGCTTTTAATGTTTTTACCATTTTAACATTAGCTTTCTTTAATTAGGTCAAACTTCTAGTTGACCAAAATGCACATCGCCCAAATGCACCAGTTATTTTGGAAGAGCGTGAATTCTTTGGAGAAGTACAATATTTTTTTTCACATCAATACAACAGTCACCGGTCTATGCTAGCATACGTGCAGTGGGTACGAAATCCTCAGCCTTCTGGACATGGACCATTAAAGTTTCGAGATAATAGTGCTTTTGAAGTAATTAATGTAAGTGCAATTTGTAGAAATGTTGGATTTCTCAAGATGAGTTTTATATCATTGATCGAGAAAATCAAATTAAATTTCGATGATTTTTACATTTTTTTATTTAATCAAATTGATACTGATGCTGATTTGCAAAATCGTACCGTACTAAATATCCTATTAATTTATATTTAGTAATTCATATTTACTGTATATTGTTAGTATTCCGTTTTTATTGGTGAATTTTTCAGTAATTTAATAACGAAGTTATTTGCAAAACTTATATCTTAATTCCATTTAAATTCCATTTTTTGTGATTAAAATTTATTCCATTTTTATTGGCGAATTTATCAGTAACTTAACAATAAAATGAGTTTGCAAAATTTAAATTTTTGATCCGTTTAAAATCTTTCTATAAATAATATTATGGAAAAATTACGGATTGCATGTTCAATCAGTTACGGCACACTGAATATTTACGGATTTGAAAGCATAATTACGGATTTATAACGGAAATATTCTGGAGTGTATTTTTTACGGGGGGGAGATAACTTATTATATTTGTTGTGTTAGGGGAGTTACTGCCGTAACAAAGTTACGTCAATAACGTCACAGAGAAATTTAAAATAATTTATAAATATCGAGTACGTCACGAATTACAACCTTTGACTTAATGAGTGACGTAGCTCCCCTATCAATTAATCTAAGATAAAAATTTGGCACATTACATAAACCATATACCGTCTAGAAAATTCCAGAGAACTTTTTCCGAGATACGCTATGTTATAATAATCATCATTACAAGTAGGATCGTTTTAGTATGTTCCTATTTTGATTTGTGCATTACTACATTAGTAATGTTGGAATCACAAAAAATCTTCCCACCACTGAAGATCTTTGACTTTAATTGTAAGAAAACTTTTGATTTTTTAATTTAATCACGTATAAATAAATACTTGAACTTTATAATAATTAATTATATCGTATATACGAATATGACGGTTGCCAATAGTGAAATAATTATAATATAAAGTAATACTTTTGAAATTTTTCTGTATAATATATTTGGTAGTTTCCATGCAATTCTATGTAATAAATATCAGATATTCGTAGTACGGTATATGTGGTTACAATTATTACCAATTACACTCACTATATCGTGACATTAAAAAAAGAGATGGTAACAACAAATACTAATACAGGATAAAACCTAGAAGGGTAATTGAATTCTATAAAAAGTAATAAATACACAAGAATCTCCAAATAAATTTACTGTAATAATAAAACAAATAGATCATCTCCAACTAGAACAAAGTTTTTTCTTGTCGAAAATTCCTATTGGAAGGTTAGCTGCTACTAAATATCATGATATTTAAGTACTGTATTTACTACAAATACTCTTCTAAAATTTGTTGGCGATAAAGTTTTCTTTGTTTACAAGTATGTTATCGCAAAGATCCGAATCTCCCGATATTTTTTTTTTTTTCTAGAATTTAGAATTCGTTGACAAAACAAAAGAAAAACTTGTGATTTTTTTTTCGTTTTACACAAACAAGTTTTCGATCGACAAGTGTTTTGGGTATTATTATAGTAAACAAGCCTTTTTGAATTTCGAGAATGTTAATAGTTTTAGTATATAAATATTTCTTTTGGAAAAATAAAAAAAGAAGATTCTTTTTTTGTTAATTTTTCCTAAATATGGAAATATAATGAAGCTCGATTCAGAAATAAATATTATAAATAAATATTATAAATATTATATAACGCAATAAACGTTCGATCTGTATGAAGCTTGGAAGGGGCAAAGGAGGGGGGGAGAAGAATTGTAATAATTCGGTAAGGTGCGATGAGTATGAGTAGATGTCATGGCTTTCATGCGGTTAATAAGGTCATGCGTAATTATTCAACTATTTCCAAAATTAATTATTAAAAAAAAATCAAAAAATTTCATAGAAAAAAATATATATATAAATATATACAGTGTATAAGTAAAGTATACAAAATATAAAATATAATATAATATAATATATATTATTGTTTCAATGAGATATATTAGTATCATTCAATGGACTGATAACTAAGTCTGGAACATTAAGACAAAGGTCTTTTAAACATATAACGTAAACAAAAGAATAACATGAGTAAATCATTGAGAAAAAATGGAAAGAAAACAAAATAATATAATGAAAGATTATTATAAATTCAAATTTAAATTTATTAATAATTTTCTTTAGTTGAAAATTTAATAAGTTTCTTTTTTTGCTAACCATGTGGTGATGCAATTTGTTTCAAGTAAATTATTTATAGGAATTTTCTTTTTTTAAAACCAAGATTGATAGACATGATCGACAATTATATTGACACTGAAAGAATATAAAGAAAACCCGAGAATAAAAAAACTATATATCCGTGGAAAAGTCCGAGTAACACGTCAAGTTTTGTTAATTTAGTGATTTATATCATAAATGTCGTAAAGTTTACATTACCCGGGAATTCACTTATTTATGATGATGTAACATACTATATAATAAATATATTATTAAAAATAGTTATATTTGGATTTACGGAAATATGACCTAATTGGTTCCGTATGGTCGGATTTTATATATTACTTTACATTGCATAAGTCATAAGTGTCTTAAGTTATTCGTTAAAATCACCATATTCAGTATATCAAGTATATCAAGTGCATATATATATTGCATATGAATAAAAATAGAATGTTTAATAAGTCATACCATTTAAAGTTATATTCTGGAATTTTTATATGCAAAAAATGTTACTTTAAATAATTTTTTTCCATATAGAAGGGTATGTTATTTTGTACAACAAAGCAAAAAGCCTTGGGATTCTTAAAACATATAAATATAAAGGTTCTCGAACTCGAAAAAAAATAAAAAAAAAAATAGTTTTTCTCATAAAAAAAAAAAAAAGCAATTTTGATTTTTTTTTTGAAAATTTATAATACGTACATATAATATATATACATAATTCTTTTTGATTTTTTTGTAAAAAATAAAAATGTCTACCTCATCTGTAACTTTAATAACTTCAAGCACTGATTCAACCAATTCTACAACATCAGAAACAAAACAAGCGATGCATCATTCGCAATTACCAAAAATTAACATTTCAAAATCAAATGCGGTAGTAATTTTCCCTGAAAATAATTTTTGCGAAGAACCAGCGTCAATTGAAGAAGAAATGTTATCATTCTCTTTTATAACAAATTGTCCCTCTCCAATAGAACGTAAGATGGACAGATATAAAAAATTAAGAGCCATGCACGAACGTGCTGGTCGTCTTCATAAATCAACCGGAAATAATTCAAATTAAAAAGAGAAAAAAGACGTAAAAACGGATTCAATTGCACGGAAAATCCAAGGATATCCTTGGGGAAAAAAAAAAAAAAGTTTAGCGCTATTAATTTGGCTTATTAAGGTCAATAAGTCAATCCGAATCGGTTTCTTCCGATACAGCGTGTACGAATTCGGTGAATTTTTGAAAATATTTAAAATCGATCATAAAATTTTTAAAAAAATCATTTTTTTTCTTTTTTTTGTACAAATAAAAAAATTTTCTTTATTATTTTAATTAAGCGAAGGGTTTATAGAATATTTATTTAATGGAATGTATTTTTAGTAAATATAATATTTTTTTTATCAATAAAAAAAAAATCGGATTGTTTTTTAAAAGTGATTATAAATGAAGGAAATTTTCATTTTTATTTTACCGTAACGCCCATTTTGAGCCCCTTGACAAGGAGTTTAGTTTTGATTGTCATTAAAAAAGTAAAATGTGACTAAAATGAAATTGTCTAAAATAAATTTTCATTCAAAAAAAGAAATTTCTTATTTCTTTTAAAAAAAAAATCTTTTGTTTTATAAACATAACAATTTTTTTTGTACACACATTCTAGGGGAAAAAAAACATTTTGTTTGAGGATCACATAAACACAAAAAAAAATTTGATTTATCATTACTAAATAAATAATTTCATTTACCTGGTGTTCCATTTTTCATTTTAATTTACCTGGTGTTTGCTAGTTTTGTGTATTCCATGTTATGAAATTCATTTCCATAATTATATTCATTAAATATCTTAAATATTTGATATTCGATAGAATATTCTATCGTTTCTAAAAAAAAAAATGGCGTCTATATGAGAAGAAATTTTAAACTTAATTCGAATAATCACCTTTCAGCCTCAATTCTACTTTTCCAACTCAAAAGATATAGTTATTTTTTTCTATGATAAACTTTACATTTACAAACAATCAATCGATCGAAATTTTATCAGTATTAACACCTTTTTCAGTTAAAATCATGTTCCGGAATTAAAATTCCATAAATTAAGTTTTAAAAAAAAACAATGTAATCTTTGTAATCTTGGTAACTCCGTTCTCCCGGATTTATTTTAGGTAATTTCATAGTTACGCAAATCAGGATCGTCCAAATATGTGGAATGACATACTGTTACAGTATGACATTACAAATCCAAAAATTGATAATATAGAAATAAGGAAATAAATGCTGAAATTAATAAGCTACGGTATTCGGCTTTAAAAAAAAATTCTAGTTCCAAAAAGAAAATGTTATAAAATCATATTTTTTTCCCCTAAAGAAGCTTTTTTTTTTCTTTTTCCATAAGTATGGTGTTCTTTTTTTGTTGTCGTACTAAAAGAACTCGGAAAAGGTAAAGCTTAAATGATTTTTTTTTCTAGAAAAATCATTACTAATCGTACTTTTTTTTTTTTTATAAATATCGCACAAAAGTTTCTTTTTTGATTATTATTAAAAAATAAAAATTTCCCCTACAAATCATTATTATATATATACAATATAGTATGGGTTCAGATAATCAAAACCAACGTTCTATCACAAGTGAAATACAAACTTCTACATATAACACCAATGATACTGAAACGGAACAATTTGATGAGAAAACATTTAATAATGATCAAGATACAATAAGTAAAAAACAAGACGAAAATCAACAACAAACAAATCAGTTTACATTCGATCGTCCTGTAACCGTTAGTGATGTTCTTGAAGGGAAAATAACTCTTCCAACTCCTGCTCCAAAAAAGCAAATCGAAAGTAAGTAATTATATTCCTTCCTTTTCTAGGTTTTGATCTTTATTTTTAATTTTTTATTTTTTTTATATATTTTATTATAGAAGATATTGTTAATCCTCAAATTAATAATAATAATAATAATAATAAAGATAATAATAAAGTTCTGAATGGAAAGAAAGAAATACAAAGATTATCAACTACAGATTCTATGCAAGAATTTCTTGAAATTCCTGATAACAGTAAGTATATTTATTATATATTATATTTATATATTTATTATAACTTATATTCTAATCTCATTATTTATTATTATAAGTAGTTCCAAATGATTATGTTAAACGAGATGATGATGATGATGAAAATAATGATTCATAGTATATAATGTTTATTTAGACTTTTTTTTTTTTTCATTCTTTTTAAAAATAAATGAGCTCGTTAAACTAATAATAATCTAATAATTTTTATCATTAATATACCTGATTTAAAAACTAAAATAAATTAAATCTACTCTTAATAATATTTAGATTTTGTACCATCTTACGATTACATTGTATTTTTAGTAATTACATTTATTTATTATAATTTAGACTTTTTATTTATTTAATTTTAGAAGAACATAGTGGTTCTTGTTCTTTTGATGAAAACGTGGTGTGAGTCACATAATCATAGAATCTTTCTAGTAGAATATATTAACATTTGATCATTGTACAAATAATGATATTTGAAAAAGTGGCATATCTCTAGAGAAATAATAAAACTATTATTCTAAAACTTGTTAAATGTACAGTAACATTTGAAATTGACAAGTAATTTATTAGTATCCTATAATTAGAATTGGTTTACTCTTATATTTTGTATACTTATATCTTTTTTTTAACTAATAAAGCATAGCAAAATTTAAAAAAAAGTAACATTAGAAATATTTTATCATATAATATCATAGGAATAAATAATTTATTTTCAAACTTTTCTACATATATTTAAAACTTTATGTATAACAAAAAAGACCTTCTTGTTAATCTTTATATATAAATAGTATCAAAGTTTTTTTATTATAATTTTAAATCAAATTTCATAATATAATTATATTAATATAATTTTTCATAAAATTAATTCTGAAAATTATATAAAAAGGTAATGTTCCTATTAGTAAATCCTTGTAAATAAAATAAAAATTAAACAAAAAAATTCAAAACTAATCAAATTTACTATTACTATTATTTAAATTATCAATATTAATAATTAAGTAAATTAAACCTATATAATAATTTGCAAAGTAATAATTAGAAATAGAAAATTAATGGTTAATTATAATTTAATTATTATTTAACTAGTTAATTAAGTTTTTATGATTTTGGCCAAAATTACTGAATTATTAATTCAAACCAAACTTAATATTTTTAATATAAATTATTTATTTTATTGTATAAGATTTTCATTTATAAATTATAATGTAATATTTAAATTTTTAGTTTTAATAGTAGATTGTAATATATATATATATAATATTGCAACTTATTTGCATCAAACTGTTACTTACCTATATAAACTATTACCTATTTATATATAAATTTATAATTTACTGTTTTTGATGAGTTCTATAACTTTTTATAATAAGGTACTATCTATATGATTTTACCTTTCTGTATTTATTATTTTGTGACCATTTTATAATCAAAATATTTAGCCAGTTTTAATTGCAAAAATCACATTTTATTGAATGATATAGTAAATTTATGAATTAGATTTTGACTAGTATTATACTATATTTTTGATCTGATCTTTAGAGTAGAATATTTTAGTTTCCTGTAATTGGATTTATACAGCTTTGAGTTTGTTTAGATAAGGGTGTTGAGAGCTTTTCAATGATATTAAGACCACATAAATCATATATTTGGATGCTAAATTATTGCATCTTCAAGTTTTAAAAAAAAATATGGAATAATGCTAATTAAAATTAAAAAAGAATTTTATTGCATTTTACTGTGTTAATCATATGATTTAGTTTTTCACCAGTTTTGAAAACTCTTTTATCATTTTTAAATAATTTTTAAGTAATTTTCTAGCTTCAACTTGGTAAATTAATTAGTTAGAAAATCAAAGGTATAATTTATATTATTTTGATTAGTCTATTTAATTGCCAAAAAAAAGTATATATAAAGTACTAAGTTTGCAATCCATCTATTTGTCAAATATTTTACAACTTATTTGCTATTTCTTAATTACCAGATGAAGTATAAAGTGTTGATATTATGTTATTCTTATAATCCTGCCTTTTATAACCTTTTTGATTGCTAAAGATAAGGTATGAAGAGCTAAATTAATTCAGACTATATTATTTTTATACCATTTTTCTTGTATTCTTTTAAACCTTTCTGCCTTTTTGACTAAAACTTTACATGAATTAGTTTATAAGCTAAAAGTACTTTAAAAATATATTAGCTTATAAATTGGCTTGCAAGCTAATATATTTTTAAAGTACTTTTAGCTTACAAGTTAACTTATACTGTATATAGCTTTATTCTTAACTTCTTTCCTATCTATCACTATGATTAGTAATAATATTCTAAATTATAATTTCTTGTTTTCTTTTTATATATTATTATAACTTGAAGTACTACTAAATTTATATCATTTTATATTTCTGTTTTCCTAAAATTCTTTTTTATATAGTTATTACTTTAAAATACTTTAGAATATTACTGTATTAATTACTTTTAGTAATATCATATTGATTACTTTAAATATTACTTCTAACTCAATACTTTGCTGACAAGTACCATATATAGCAGATCACAGTACTCCGAGTATCTTGCAAAAATCGGAGGTTTGACCCTGTACCTCTAGGTACTAAACAAAGCCTAAAAATTCTGTTTTTTGCGAATATCTCACGATCTACCAGTCCAATTTGAACGATTTTTTTTTATTTTGAAGAGCTCAATGAAAGCTATCAAACAAAAAAAAGATGGCTCAAATCTGATCACTGGATCACGAGATAATTGTAAAATATTTCCCTGGTACTATACAATTCTATGAAATTTTTCAAGGAGGGTACTATGCATAGGGAGGTACTATGGCCTGTAATATATGGTATATTTGTTTAAAATTATATAAAACTTTTATTTTAAATTTGAGATTTTATTAATATATATATACTGGAAACTGAAAAGTTTACTTTTATCATATTACTTGCACAAAAAGAATTTAGGCCTAATTCTGAAGTAATAAAAAAAGCAATTAGACTTTTTTCTAGTTTAGTTGATCTTGATTATAAATCTGATTATAATGATCATATATATTTTTAATATCTGTTTAATAGTAAAGATAATATCACTCTTCTAAATACTTATTATTCTGAAGAAATTTTTGATAAATATATAATTCAGATGACAGGAAAGAGTTTTACAGTTATTGATCATCTATCTAAAGTTTATAAGTTATTTGATACTTATGAATGCATTGATGGAAATTTGCTTTTTTACTTAAATTTAAATATTGATATAAAGTAAAACTTTTTTTTTCTAAAAAAAAATTAAATTTATCTGTTTTAAAAAAAAATGAAATGCAAAATTATAATAAAATTGATTCTAAAACTTTAGCATCTGCTTATAAATATGGAAAAAAAATGCTTAGCAAAAGTTAGGCTACTTCAAACCAATTCTTTGTTTAATATAATATAAGGGGTTTGGGAGGACCCTGAACATTATATATATAACTCAGATCTAAGGTCAAAAATTTTAATATAACTTTATACACTTAATTTTATTAAAAGCTTTATACAAAATAAATCATTATATAAGTTCAAATTTTACTACAAATTATACAATTTTAAATCTGAGTTTATATAAAACAAAAATTATTTTATTTATTAATTTTATGTAATTATTTCAATAATGATTTATCAATTCAAAAATTCATAATTTAAAAAAAATTTTAAAAAAACTTAATTGTCATAATTCAAAAATTAGTACTGTTGTGAAAAATACAAATGTTTCTACAAGTATTATATATACTAATGATTACGAAAATTTAAATCTAGGTAGTTTTGAATCTGCTGAACAACTTTCAATTAATAAAGATAGTCGATTTCATTTGATAAAGATGCTGAAATTACGCTCTGAAGTTACTGATTGGATGATTGAAAAAAAATTGAGAGTGCGAAAATTGCTCGTATTCTATAAGCATTATTCCAATTACTATAAAATTTAGGTATAGGTAGTTCTGACTTCTGTGAACAATTTTCTCTTAATAAAGGAAGTCAATTTCATTTGACTAAAATGCCGTAATTACGCTCCAAAATTAATAAACGAAAAAAGCAAATTTAAAATCAATATAATTATAAAAATATGTGTGTACTCCATAAGTATTACTCCAATTGCTATAAAAATTTAGATTCAAGTAGTTTTGGCATCGCTAAACAACTTTCTCTTAATAAAGAAAGTCGATTTCATTTGGCTAAAATGGTAAAATTACACTCCAAAGTTTGATGAAAGTAAAAAGAAAAATTTAGGAATAAATGTATTATGAATTATATAAAATATCCATATTTTCACAAAATACAGGTAATAAAAACTGATACAAAAGTATTTAATATGTAATAATTTGTAAATTTACAAAGTTTTTAAAATTTTTTTAAAGAAAAATTTTTTATATACGTATATATAATTTATTTACACAAGTATCATTATACAAAATAAAGATCTCACTTGATTTAAAGATTATCACTGTTATACAAATACATATCTGCCTTACCGAAAAATTACCAACAAGCTATACAAAATCAAATATATGACTTATTGGAAAATTATATAATAAGTTTATACAAAACTGGATCCCAGTATTATATGTATTGTTCAAGGTCCTGGTTCGGGATTTCAATCTAAAGAAAAAGAAGACAAAAAATGATATATAAAATAAAATACATGGTTAGAATTACCATTAATTTTAGCCAAAATTTTAACTAAAAGAGTAAGCAAAAATTTTGAATAATAATTTTGGTCAAAACTTAAAGATTTGTCTAATTTCAGCCTAAATTATATGTATTTTTTTTACATAAAAAATCCAAAAATAGAGGGAAGATTATGTTAAATGAAAAATTGAATTGGTGTGGCCTTAGTACTAAATATAATACATATTTATAGATAGGGCATAGAATTAAATTTATGAATTCCAGTTTAAATTCAGATTTTCCAAATTCTTGAATGGAATTTTCATAATCAAATAAGTGATTTACTAAGTTTGATAAAAAAACTGAATTTAAATTTGAATTATACAATCGAATTGCATATTGTAACCAATTGTAAAATCTGAATCAAAATTCAAATTTCTAAAATAATCTTGATTTATCATTAAAATTTAGTTTGAATATTTAAACCAAATATCTTTTACCTGTATATTTATTATGTAATTTGAATACATAATTTGTACTATAAGTCTACTACAGTCAAACTTGATATAGCGAACCCTTAATATAGTGAATTTTTCAGATAACTATAATAAATTTCCCCTAGGATTCATTATAACAAGGGTTAACTGTACTTAAACATTTACATGGTTAATTTTCTGCTGACTTCTCATAATACTTTTATAATATGTTCAGGTAAAATTTAAATACAAGTTAAGTTATAAATTAATTGGAAATAATTAATTAATATCATTTAAAAATATAAATATTTAATAATATAACTAAGTAAATTATTAAACAGAACCCGGACATTACATATACAACTCAGTGGCAACTTTTTTGCAAATTGACCTAAATTTCACAAAAAAAAAATCAGTTT